ACTACTTCATGCTCGCTTTAAAGTGTCCGTTTATTTCCTTGCTGTTTGTATCCTCATCTGAGGCTGTTTTCATCTCGCAAAAGACGAGAAGAACCGGAAATCGAAGGAGCTCATTCGAACAAAGGTCGTCGAGTACCTCTCGCGCGCGGAGACGCTCAGGGAACACCTGACGAAAGAACAGGGGGCGAAGGCTGCGGTCGCCGCAAATGGCTCCAGTGGCGGGACAATTGTTTAGTGCTCGTGGTCCGCTCCTGCAGAGTGAAATGGAATCAGAATATAAATTATCGAGTGACCACGACAGCGTCGAGCGGCCCGCCTTTTAAGCTTACAAAGATAGTTATGACAGATCCCGAGCAAACAATAAGGGAATCCGTATATAAGGTATATGTGTAGATGGATGTTACGTTCGACGTAACCATGCTCTTCATGAAGTGACTCGACGTAAGACAAGGAACTTATTTTTGCCTGCTCGCAGGATGACAATCTGATTGTCAATGAACTGCTCCGCCCCAATAGTGGACATGGTTCCAACAGGGACGTTGTTCACATAGAGACCCTTCGCGTCCGCCAGTCGTCGAGCTTCGCCTAAAAAGAGATAAATGCGATCGAACTACACCGGAAATTTTGAAGACTTACCTTTGGAAGACAGAAGACCGTGTGTTGAAGCCAGAGCGATCACTGGTTCTCCAAGCAGACATTCCTCATTCAAAGATACAAGGCGTGGGTCACCACTGAGTGCCCGTACAATCCTCGATATATCTAGCTGAGAAATGTCACTGAACAATATCTTAGATGCTTCTTCAGCAGCCAAAGACGCGTCACCTGATATCGTGGCGGGTGGTTATTCATATTTCATGACAATTAGCGAAGGAAATGACATACGACCGTGCACCATTTCGGTCACTTCTCCGGCAAGCTTTCTCTGACCATCGCGCTTGTCTGGTGAGGCCTAAAATGGGAAGGTGGGAACAAATATCAGACAATCATCAACACCATTTGTACCTCGTGACTGGCAACTATAGTATCAATTTCTTCTCTGGGTAACAGAGTAAAGAAATTGAGATATTTCCGCAGGGAACGGTCGTCTGTCTGCATGAAGTACTATATCCCAAGGTTAGAACATGCAGGAAGACGCAACAAAGAGGTACACTTTACTTGGTAAAGGCCGAACACCGAGGTCAACCTAGAGTCAAGCCAAACAGCATTCCCAGCACTCTTTCCAAACTTCTCGCCCGAAGGTGTTGTGATGAGGGGTAATGTGAGTCCATAGCAGTCTTCGACCGGTTCTTGTGGAAGACCACCTTTCTCCGCTGCCGATGTACGGCTTATGAGCTCCAAGCCAGAAACAATGTTTCCCCATTGGTCGGAGCCCCCGACCTGGATAGTGCAGTTATAGTTACGGTACAGATAGAAGAAGTCGTATGCCTGAAGGAGCTGGTACGTGAATTCGGCGAAGGACATGCCGTCCTTAGACTCTAAACGCGTCCGAACGCTGCAAGGGCGGCGTTATCAATCACAGACAGAGAAATCTGTCTTGCTGACCAACCTGTCCCTGCTAAGCATCGTGTTCAGCCGCGCATGGTGCCCGACAGTTTGTAGAAAATCTAGTACACGGATGTCCTGGTGCCATTCGAGGTTGCTTCGAACTGCAACCGGATTATCCTCGATCTTGGTTGCCACCCCTCGTGATTGCGCATACCTTAACGCGCCAGTGAAGAACTTGGAGACCGCTGTGGTAAGACTCTCCACATTCTGCTGAACAACAGTTTTGTTAGCGCGGTCGCGCTCGGTTGACCTGCCTGACGGGTCGCCGACGAGGCCAGTGGCACCGCCAATCTGCCTTAAATTATTGGCTTGGCATATTACACAGAGTTCAAACGGACTGGCTCACAAGCGGAATGACAGTGTGGCCTCGCAGATGGAAATGAAGCAATGTTATTAAAGGCAGGAGATGGCCGACATGGAGGGCGGGAGCGGTGGGGTCAACACCGGCATAGACTGTATGCTTTTTACGTTGCACTGAGGCTTCTAATTCCTCTTTTCTGGTACCTATATGAGCGACGCGGTAGAGTCGCCCTGCGTAGCACGTACCGAGATACATCCCACACCATGCCTCGCTCCACAAGTTCGTGGATCAAAGGAGGCGCCGAAGAGACACCGCGTAGCTGTGTTAGCAGACTTGGACGTAGAACTCGTTCAAGTGTTCGTCCATGTCGAGATAGCATTGAGAAGTGAACGAAACCCAACGGCTCAAGTCTGTGGTCACGGTCGAAATCGCCGTCTTGGTCTGCGAATCGAGGTGTCATCAGTCTTGATCGCCGTCTCGAAGTCGCTCGTCTATGACTCACTCTCGGAAATTTCTCTTCATAATCATAATTTCTCAGACATAATTTTTCGGACATGCAGTTCGAAGTTCTTGCCAAATGCCATACCACTAGAGGTAAGCATGAGTGCGATTGTTATGAGACGCGATGACATATCTTATTAGCCCGCGTCTCTCGCATGAAGCTCGCCCGTAAGCCACCAACTTCAAATAAGTAATATAGCAGTTCGGTCACTCAAGCCGTCCCCTCAGATGGCGTAACGAACCTCCCGACGTTCATGCCTGTGGCGACACAAGCAGCCATAAAAGGATTGACGCCTGAGCAAGTTGAATCGCTTGGTGTTACCCTTATCCTGAACAACACCTATCATTTGAACCTCCGTCCCGGCATCAAGATTCTCAACGAGGCTGGTGGCGCACACAAGTTCCAAGGATGGAATCATAACCTGCTCACCGTATGTCGATCAGTTGCCATGTTCTCGTAAACACTGATCCATGCAGGTATTCAGGACAGCGGCGGGTTCCAACTTGTGTCCTTGAACAAGTTCACCACCATTACTGAAGAAGGCGCCCTATTTGAAAGTCCGTTTACTGGCGAACCCACTATGTTGACGGTTTGTTTTCCCATTTCACCGATCAATAACGCGTACTAATGACTTGAAGCCTGAAGAAAGTATATCTATACAACATGCCATCGGCGCCGATATCATTATGCAACTCGACGACGTTGGTGTGTACGCCTCTTATGCGCTCATCCTGTGTCAATCTTACCCGTCGTTTTCCATATTAGTGTCTAGCTTAACGACCGGTCCTCGTGTCGAAGAAGCTATGCAGCGGTCAATCAGGTGGCTCGATCGATGCATCGCTTTTCACAAAGAGTCGGGACGGACTGATAGACAAAACTTGTTTGCGATAGTGCAAGGTGGCCTTAGTCCTGCGCTTCGCGACCGCTGCCTTCAAGCGATGATTGATCGTAAAGATGGTGTCGCCGGTTACGCCATCGGCGGGCTCAGCGGTGGAGAAGAAAAAGGTGCAGCATGTGTTCCGTTCTGCTAGCAAGTCTTTTTATCCATTGTCTACAGATATATTCTGGAGAATGTTATGTTCTTTGCTTTTATGAGGACTTCGAGACTGATGTTGGCTCTCCAGCATGAGTCAATGCGCGGAAAGGCTACCAGTAGACAGTGCGTCAGACTAAGAATCAGTCCCATGCAAGCTGACACGTATATAACACAGGACCACGTTATGCTATGGGCATCGGATTTGCTGAAGGCATGGGAACTTTGGTGTACTCTTTCCCAAGCTCTAATCATTGTTGCAAGATTTACTTGTCTGTGTGGCGCTGGGCGTGGACATGGTACGTTTGCGCTGAGCTCATATCCACCAGGGGGCAGCACTTTGACACCTTTAAACAGGCAGACTGCGTGTTTCCTACGAGGACGGCTCGATTTGGCGTGGCGTTGACTCGCCATGGTCCGCTCAATCTGAGTAAGTTTTGATCTCTGTCCGATTGTGTGCATGTTTTCACGTGCCGATTGCACAGAACTCCAGAAACATGCAACAGACTTCAATCCAATTGACTCGTCATGTCCCTGTCCTACTTGTAAAGATGGCATGAGTCGGGCGGCATTGCACCATATCATCACCCACGAAACTGCTGCGGCACATGGTATGTCACAGCTTTTTTCGCCCCAGCATCAACTTGATGGTATACTACTACAGCTGTTACCTCGCACAACATCACGTTCCAGGCGCAAATTATGGGCGGTGCGAGGGACGCCGTCTTGGCTGGCACTTTCCCACAATATTTGCGCCAGTTCTTTGCTGACTATTTTGGCGACGTGGGGTATCCGGAATGGTGCGTCAATGCCCTGAGGAGTGTCGGTGTGGATTTGCTGGAGGGAACCGATGTAGGAGTAGTTTCTGGCACGGGAGCCAAGTGGGAATATGCCGAAAACTGAGCGTGTAATACTTGTTTTGTAATTGAAGTCTATTGGATACACTGAACAAAAGTGTTGCTGCCACAGATCATCAACAGCAGCTCTACCTTACGAAGTAGCCGACAAACCGTGTCCATTTTCGGGACGTGTTGTGGGCAAAAACGACAAAAATCTCAACACAGCTGAAGGGCCCAACCGGGAATTGAACCCGGGACCACCTGCAATCAATGAATAGCCCAAAGCAGGTATCATACTTCTAGACCATTGGGCCGACACTCCGAACGCTTGGTGTGAATACATAACATAAAGGAAAGCGCGCATAAACGCGACACGACGCGTCGCGTCCAAGCCAACCCTATCGCGGTTCATACTCTCAAAACACTTTGACTTTCGCTTTCAATGGTCGGAAGACATGCAGCTCTCCTTTCCGACGCTCTCTGAAATTGTCTACAGGTCTCACCACGCGGCGCCAAACGTCAGCGGTCGGTTACCCCCGATGTGGGCTCGTCCCCGCCGCCGCGATCCCGTCGTCCTTCGGAATCTAGCTTGCCACCGTCATCTCCTCGGTTTGATACTGACGAAGCCGAGAGCAGCATTGACGACCGTGATGCAGTCGATGATCTTGACATGGGACAAGAGGCAACGGACGAGGAGGGCGAAGATCTCTTTGGAGAAAACATCATGGCGTAAGTGTCGCGTCGAATACTTGTTTTGAACGGACACCGACGCGTCTGTAGCGATTATGCTGCCAACCAAATGCTTGATCAGTACTCAGATGCCGGTATTGATGACCAGCCCGACCAGCCTGTGCTCGGACCTGCTGGGCGTAGGGCAGCTGAGCGTAAGATGGCTGAACGCGACAAGATGGAGCGTGCAGGCCGCCGTGGCAAGCGTGCCGCAAGACGCAATCGCGCGCCAGGCTTTTTGGATGATGACCTAGAAGACGACGAGGTGGACGAATATGGTGTCGCTCAGATGGCTCGTCGCACCAGGCGGCAGTACGATGAACGACGCGACATTGACGATGTCGAGGGTATTGAAGACGTGCGTTCTCTGCAAATATATATAATGTCTCTCAACTGCATTGCAGGAGCTGCCCCTTGAGCAACTGAGTGATATTAAGGCAAAGTCTATCCTGGAGTGGGTCACGACAGAACGTGTCCGTCGGTCGATTGTTAGACACTTCCACCAGTTTCTCATGACCTACATCGACGAAAACGGTGGCTCTGTGTACGGTCAGAGGATTCGTAACCTCGGAGAAAGTCCGTTCAATGCTTCCTTTACGTAGTTGCTCTGCTAATGTCACATATTTAGCAAACTCTGAATCGTTGGAAGTGTCATATCTCCATCTATTCCAGTCAAAACCCATCCTTGCGTATTTTCTCACCAACTGCCCCTCTGCTATGCTTGAAATTTTTGACGAAGTTGCGCTGTCTGCCATTTTGGTCTACTATCCTGCTTACCAGCGGATCCATGAAGAGGTGCATGTGCGCATCTCGGACCTGCCTCTTAGCTACACCCTACGTGACCTTCGTCGAGTGCATCTCAATAATCTCGTCCGCGTGTCTGGTGTGGTCACCCGCCGCAGTGGCGTCTTTCCCCAGCTCAAAACGATCAAATTTGACTGTAAAGGATGTGGTGCCGTGCTAGGTCCTTTTGCACAGGACGCGGCGAGGGAAGTGAAAGTTAGTTATTGTCCGTACTGCGAATCCAGGGGCCCGTTTGCACTTAATTCAGAGCAGGTTTGTGAATAGTCTGCCTCTACTGACCTTGACAAGGTTGACTGATGTATGTGTTAGACGATTTATCGTAATTATCAGAGGATGACTCTGCAAGAGTCGCCTAGTTCAGTACCTGCTGGTCGGCTTCCTCGACAACGTGAAGTCATTCTTTTATGGGACCTCATTGACAGTGCGAAGCCCGGTGAGGAAGTGGCAAGTACCCATAGATCGATTCGTTAAATAATTCCTCATATGATCAACAGGAGATAACCGGTGTGTACCGCAACAATTTTGACGCAACGCTCAACTCGAGAAATGGGTTCCCCGTCTTTTCTACAATTATTGAGGCGAACCACGTCAACAAGAAAGAGGACTTGTTTGCGGCATTCCGCTTGACTGAAGAGGATGAGAAAGAAATGCGTGCACTTGCTAGGGACGATCGCATCCGCAAACGCATCATCAAGTCCATTGCGCCGTCCATTTACGGCCACGAAGATATTAAAACAGCCATCGCCCTCTCTCTTTTTGGCGGTGTGCCTAAGGATGTGAACAACAAGCTTCGCATTCGCGGCGACATCAATGTTCTTCTGCTTGGCGACCCCGGGACTGCTAAATCCCAGTTCCTGAAGTACGCCGAGAAGACGGCGCACCGAAGCGTGTTCGCAACTGGCCAGGGCGCATCGGCGGTCGGTCTGACGGCCAGCGTGCGCAAGGACCCGATCACGCGTGAATGGACGCTCGAGGGGGGCGCGCTCGTGCTAGCCGATAAGGGCACATGCCTGATCGACGAGTTCGACAAGATGAACGACGCAGACCGGACATCCATCCACGAGGCGATGGAGCAGCAGACAATTTCCATCTCCAAGGCGGGAATCGTCACGACGCTTCAGGCACGTTGCGCCATTATTGCCGCGGCTAATCCCGTTCGCGGGCGTTACAACCCGACGATTCCGTTCCAGCAGAACGTCGAGCTCACAGAACCGATATTGTCCCGCTTTGATATCCTTTGCGTCGTGAAAGACACTGTGGATCCTGTAGCAGACGAACTGCTTGCGCGCTTCGTGGTTGGCAGCCATCTGCGCAGCCATCCGTCTTTCGAGAAGGAGACGGATGAGATGGACGTTGGGACAACGCTGGATGCTGATGTAAGTCTTCCAAAGGTCTCAATGTCTGCGGCATAGTTCTGATACAGCTACATAGCTCATACCACAGGATGTTTTGCGCAAGTATATCATGTACGCACGCGAGAAAGTGCGACCGAAGCTGTATGACCTCGACCAGGAGAAGATGTCGCGTCTCTTCTCTGACCTGCGACGTGAGTCGTTGGCGACCGGTTCTTTCCCCATCACAGTGCGACACCTGGAAAGTATGATTCGCATGGCGGAGGCAAGCGCCAAGATGTCGCTACGCGAGTACGTGCGTTCGGATGACATTGACCTGGCCATCGAGGTCGCGGTAGGCAGCTTCGTAAATGCTCAGAAGATGAGCATCAAGCGGACTTTGCAGCGGGTATGGATGTTCATTTCGTACTTATTTTTTTGGCACTCAAGCCGACGTTGATTCGCAGGGATTCCGCAAATATCTGACCCAGTCGAAAGATCACGAGGAACTACTGTCCTTCTTACTTGGCCAAATTGTCAAGGAGCGCGCTCGGTTTTATCAGTTGCAGCGGCATCAACAGCCAGATCTCATAACTATCAAGGTGTCAGAGCTGGAGGAAAGGGTGAGTATCTTATTGCAATTGCATTTTAAGCAGATTGGTGGAGCGTTCTTTTAGGGGAAGGAGCACGAGATTTTCGACATTTCACCGTTTTTACAGTCGAAATTATTTGCGACGAACGGTTACAAGACGAACGGAGACGTTATCGAGAAGAGGTTCGTTCACGTACAATAGATTTAAATTCCCACATAGCGAATGCCACACGTGTTTCTGCCGAAAGAATCAACGCGACACTGTAAACTATGTATTTTGGCTGAAAATAGATAAAAATGTTACAAATTCGGTCACAATATTTTCAAAAATTGGCCATATCTTTATCATACTCGAGATATTTTAATAAAATAATTGCGAGTAGCAAAAAAAAAAACAGATGAATATTTTGAAAAGGTACTTGATGTTTTTTTATCCATGATAGGATACATTGTATGTTGTGTAATGTATACACATCTGTAGTTCTCTAGGGACCGCGGCCAGTTCATGCAGACAGTCTCGCTTATTGACCGGTTCCGTATGGATACGTTGGAATCGAGAGGGATGTGACGTGCGAGTGGTAGAAATAATCTATGGATAATGATTATGGTAGAACTGGATAGCGTAAGACGATCAATGTAAATGTCGAGTTTGTGTGTTCTCGTGCTACAAATGGAAGCGGTGATACACAGCTGTGCAGCAAGAGGCCTCGACATGCTAATCGTTGGGCGACAGCATGAAATTGTACGACCATAACCAGCGGAGTCACCCATGTTTTTAGTCGGTGTGAATGTTTCTGATGCGGTTCCGAGGCTTCTCAGGCTCAGGCTTTTGGGGCTCGGATGCAGGCTCAGGTTCAGAAGCCATGGACTTCTCGTCGTCGTCAAGCTCTGTCAAAAAAAGGAAGTCAGACACGAGGACAACAACGATATACACATTATCGAGTGCTGACCTTCACCATAAACGTCGGGATGCTCGCGGAAGCAGTTTTGCATCGCCTGGAATTTCTCCACGCAGTTAATGCCCTTAGGCTCTTCCTCAGAGTACACAAAGCACGAGAATGCTTCCCGGAATTGCTGACCGCACGGCCCATGCGCCATGCCACCCAGGCAGGGACAATCCCAGTTGATTTCGCCAGTCTCGGGATTGTATGCACCCTGATTCGCACCGCTGTCACCTTCCGCGCTCGGCGCCTCCGATCCCTCAGCCGCCGGAGCAGTGTCTTCGCCAGCTTGAGGAGCCGTCTCGGTCTCTGACTGAGATGCATCAGAGGTAGGCTCTGCAGGTACCGCGGAAGCGTCACTCTCCGGTAGTGAGGGTGGGTCGATTTTTACAGATGGTACCGCATCAAGTGCATCATTTGGTAGGTTGGCAGGAGCAGATCCCAGTTCAGGAATAGGCTCTTGGTTCACCGTGACGGCGGCAGCGGGGTCTAATAACGGCTTGGCTGTTCTCGTTCATGGCACAATATATAAATTTATAAAATGTTATTGAGCAAATAATATGAATAGAAACACAGAGAACGGCATACATGTGTGTGGATCATCCAGTCGTATGTGGTTGTTCCGGGAAGACATGCGCCAAGCGAAGTAAGACGCTGATGCTACCGACGCTCCCAGAACGATCGTTCGCGTAGACACCCATGCTCTCGGAGTCGGTCCAGCCTGAGAATGCAGACATCGACGCAGAGGTAAACGAAGACTCCGACAAGCAAACATTTTTGGAGGGAGAAGAGACAAGCGAGTCGGCACAAACAACAGACAGAAAGTAGTGGAAGGAAACCCGGGGAGTGCGTAATGATTAATGATTGGTCATCGGCGATCACTAACTCAGCGGCCTTCGGGATTTCCATCTTTGGCA